GGGAAGCAGACAGGGAAGCTAGGGTTAGTGGGGGCTAGTCCAGAACCTGCTTTCAGCAGAGAGGAAATACTCATACAAGCTGCCAGGGTCAATCTGTCTTTACAGGACCATTTTATATGGAAATAATGGGAATTTAAGAAAGGTAGAAGGATGCTTTAACTAGTTACGGGATATGAGATGATGCTTGTTTCTGGAAAGAGATTGGGGACTAATAGACTAGATTATAATTTTCAGGGGAGAGTTGGTCCAAGAATGTCAAAGAAAGAACAACTGTATGTCAGGCTTCTATTCAGTGGGTCATAATTATGGAGAGGGAGCAAAAGGAGTCTGTCTTGCTCATAATGGAGGAAAAACAATCTGCCATGTTACTTCTTGAAATGTGAGTAATCCTCAGAAGTGGTGTGAAGGGCTAATGAGAAATACTGATGCTAACTAGCACCCTCCAGGGTTGCTACAATGAAGATAGAATCTCTCTGCACATTAAGGATACTACAGAAGAATGATCTCTGAGGAGATGCTAAGCTGGGTTGATGTGGTCCTTAAATATTTGGGGGAAAAAAGTGGAGAATGACGTAAGAATATCTTTATCCTTCAGTTTCTACTGACTTAAGAGTTCACGCCCTTCAATTTCGGAGTCTTCTCTAAGCTCTAAGGCATCCAGCCTGTACCTTGGTTTCTCTACCCAAAAAAGCCAGAAGAAAATCTTTGTTCAGAGACTTCTTTAAAACTTGACAGTCGTATCATGTGTACAGTTGTATTGTTAGCATCACAGCTGATTGGAGGAACTGAAAGACATTGGCAGGAAGCAGGATCCACTGTAAAGACTGACTGGAAAGCAGGAAGACGTAAACAGTGTACAGAGAGGAGAGAAGTTGGATGGAGGGTTCCACTTTGAGCACTGCCTTTAAGGATGTGTGTATATGGCAGATGGGAAGATGGCCAGGGGCTTTCTCATCCATGGAAAAATGATGCTCGGATGGATGTACATCCTGGTGGATAGTCTTTGGGTCCAAGGATGCAAATGGAAGAGGGACCTCACTGGAAGTATATTACAACGCATATCGGTTACGTCTCATTAGGTTAGAGATGAAGGGTCTCATTGGGTTCCCACTTTCCCTTCATGGTTCATTCTCTTTGAAGAGAGGGTCTGGGTAGCCAGCAAGCTACTATGATTTTGGTGGCAGAGACTCCCTGGCTGAGATGTGTGATCCCAGGGGCTAAACTCTTCACATATTCCTTTAGTCCACATAGGATTATTTTTTTTATTTTTATGTTTTAAGTTTATTTACTTATTTATTTATTTTGAGAGAGAGTGTGCAAACAAGGGAAGGACAGAGAGAGAAAGAGAGGGAGAGAGAGAGGATCCCAAGCAGGCTCTGCACTGTCAGAGCTCGAACCCATGAACTGTGAGATCATGACCTGAGTAGAAATCAAGAGTTGGATACTTAATTGACTGAGCCACCCAGGTCCCCACACAGAGGCTCATTAAGGGCTTTTCTAGCTACTCCTGATAATAATAATAGCAAGTATGTACTATGTGCCAGTATTTCCCAAGGGCTTCACATATATTATTTGATCCCCATCATACCCATGAAGTTGGGCCTGTTCTCATCTGAATTTTACATTAGGCACCAAGAGGTTAAATATGTGGTTGAAGATCACAGAGTTGGTAGCCTTTGTTAGGATTTGAATACAGGCAGCCTGGACCCAGAGCTTGTGTTCTTGGCAATCAGGAACTGGTGACCATGACGGGAGATCCCTACCCTCACAGAAGAGAAGAAAACAGACAAGGCAATAAGGAATGTTATTTTCAGGATTGATAGATGCAGGGTAAGGGACAGAGTGACAGAAGAAAGGCTAGTTTAGATAGTGTGATCAGGACAGGCATCTGCAAGACAGTGACACTGGAGTAAAAGTCTGAGTGAAAAGGGGAATTGAGCAGTGGGAAGGTCTGGGGGAGAGAGTATTCTAGGCAGAGGCTACAAAGCCTCTGCAATGGGAACGAGCTGAGGATGTTTCGGGGACATCAAGATGGTACCTGAAATAGTGTGAGGGAGACATGTGCATTGGAGGGCCTTTGAGGACTTCTTAAGCACTTCAGATTTTATTGCCATCATGCTATGATGCCTCCGGAGGGTTTTGAGCAGGGGTATAACCTGCTCTAATTTTCCTTTTAAAAAAAGATCACTCTGGCAGTGTGTGGAGAATAGATCATTCAAGTGGGGAAAATCAGGGAGGCAAGCTAGATGGCTCTTATTGCGGCCAGTGTGAAGAATATACAGATCCTGCTTTATTTCAGGCCTTTAGGCCAAGGTCAACTTATATCAGCTTAGAACAAGGTAGCTAGAGGAGTCAGTAGCATCTCAGAAGCTAATTATGGTAAATTCCTGGATTCAGGAATACTCTTGACAAGAGAGAAAAGTGAACAGAAACTTCCCCAGTTGTTGACTTATAAGTGGCTAACGGGTTCTCTACGGAATGGAAATGCTTTCATTTGTCAGAACTGTTCTGAGCATGTGCAGAGTCTTCAGGGATAACATAATCTTAGGCAGCACAAGTCCCCCATCATCAAGAAAGGTGCACTTGCCAGGCTGTCCTGGGGAGGGCGCCCTGGCCCCGGCACATGTCCTGAGGCTGCAGAGTTGGCGTCTGTTTTGAGTGTGGATTCACTGGGGATATGTGATGAGAGCTAGTCTCGTCCTTTTGTTCTTGAAAGGTGGTTTTAGCATTTCAAAACAGGAGAAGATACAGACAATTATATAACAGAAGAAATGGTGGCACAGAGTACTTACAGGCACCTTTTCTAAGCAGTTTCTACTCTGCTCAACTTACACAGAAAGATATAGCCAGCCTGTTTGGGAGAGCTTGCCAACTTCTACATAAGAAAGTGCCAAAGATTTGAATCTTCTTGAGTTTATGTGAAATAAGGACTCAAGCTGCTTGCTTTTCCAAGTTCCAGTGCTAAAGGATCCCATAAAATTCAGCCACTGATGCCCGGGAAAATGCCATCATCCTAGCGTTTTCAAAATGACAACTCATTTATCTGCCACTATCAGACTGCATGCAGTGTGCAGATCAGTTTCTTTTTCTGACTAACCTATTATCTTTTCCTGCCCTTCCTTAAAGATCATTTCCTAGGCTTGTCTGAATATGCCCAAGTTATTCTGTTGCTAGATAACTGTAGAACTCAAGAAGGATTATTAGAATCTGAAAGGTTATTCTAGAAGGGATTGTTTCTTCAGATTGCAAGACTTTTATATTTGACATAAAAAAAAAAAACTACAGTGTATACTATATCTTCTTCTTTTTTTTTTTTTTGAATTCTGTTTAGAGTCAAGCATGAAGAAGGGTTAGGGATGTGTATATGTACGTCACATATTGTATGATATGATATGGTATGACATATGTCAGCCAAGCTGGCATCTCCTGATGATGTTAAACAAGTCCTTTCCAACAGAATGGAGATTCCTCAAAATATTAAAAATGAGACTACTCTACAACACAGCAATTACACTACTAGGTATTTATCCAAGGGACACAAAAATACTGATTTGAAGGGGCACATGCACCTCAATGTTTACAGCAGCACTATTGACAACAGCCGAATTATGGAAAGAGCCCAAATGTCCATCGACTGATGAATGGATAAAGAAAATGTGGTGTATACACACACACACACACACACACACACACACATGAATATTACTCAGCAATGAAAAAGAATGAAATCTTGCCATTTGCAACAACATGGATGGAACTGGGGGGTATTATGCTAAGCAAAATTCGTCAGTCAGAGAAAGATAAATATCATATCATTTCACTCATATGTGGAATTTAAGAAACAACACAAATGAACATGGGGGAAGGGAAGGAAAAGTAGGATAAAGATAGGGAGACAAACCACAAGACGGTTCTAAATACAGAAAACATTGCTTGTGGAGTGTTGGGTGGGGGGATGGGCTAAATGGGAGATGGGCATTAAGGAGGGCACTTGTTGGGATGAGCACTGGGTGTTAACATGTCAATGACGGATCACTAAGTTCTACTCCTGAAATCATCATTACACTATATGTTAACTAACTTGGAATATAAAACAAAAACAAAAACAACAACCCAAGCCCTTTTAATAACACTAGGCAGAAGTTAGGGATATGATAAGGGGTTTCCCTTTCTGTACTTTATAAAGAAATTTACTGCAAGTAAGACAGATGAATGGAAGCAGAAATGGAGTTTGTGCTGTGATTGTTACTAAACGAAAGAAAATAGTGAAAAGGATGATTTTTTTAGAGGGGGCGAGAAAACCAACTGATTGCAGGCTACTTAGCCTTTGGCTGTTTGGAATTAATTTTGCAGAAAGAGGGACAAATGACAGTACCAAGGAGACCATGCTGCTGCAAATGCTCCACTCCACCTCATGAGAAGGAAGCACAAATCAAGGTGACCCCTGGCACTTCTACAAGATGAAGACAGAAACTCCTTCCGGAGTCTGTTATGGGGTCACTAGCTAAGCAGCTGTGCTTTACACCACTTGTACCTGCAGATACACCTTCTGAGTGGCAACGACTCACCATGATGGTGTCTTCAAGAAAAGGGCAATATCACCTTGAATTATGATTTTAAAATACAAGGAAAAGCAGAATACATTTATGTTCTTTGACATATGTCAACACATAGATGTATAAATATATCTTACAAAGAGACAAAATTTTAAAAACGTTTCCCATATTTAAAGGATCAACCTTGAGTGAACTATGAGAATGCAGCTTTCCAGAAGGATGCGTCCCCTGGAAATTCTGGAAAGCTGATATTTTCCTTTAGGTTCTTCTTGAGTTCAATAATGTGATAGGTCATCTTTCTGTATCTATATGAGTAAAGGGAACCGAGTTTCATGGCCCTGTGGTATAAATCATAAACACCAAAAGCAGTGATATCCAATTAGGAAGGAGATGTCAAAGCTTACAGCACTTAATGAAAGATAGTACATCATTGAACCATCTTACCTGTCGACGAATTATCTCAAGGTCTCTTTTGGCTTTATTCACTAAGGTTTGAATTTCTACAGGATCCTTTACATTCTTATTTTCTCTGAAGGCATCTCTTATCCTCCTGACAGCATAAGTTCTAAATGATTTCAGGGGGAAAAAAAAAGAAAAGGTGTCAGCGGTATGAAGCTATGCTTTCAAATGAAATCAAAAGCTCTTCCTGATGAATTAACTGTCTGTATCCCCCTGTGGATAATCCACTTAGATCTTTGCTCCTGGGACAGGCCCATCTATTACTATTCTGGGATGACTAAGCAAACAGATTAGGGAAATAAATCTAGTACAAACAAATCACATATAAATGGCAAACTGCTACGGAATTGCTCCTTAGATTACCGGTTCTTTAGTTATTCATGACTCCATTCTCTCTGTTAACCTAGATAATTGAACCTTTAATGCACAGAGACAAAGCAAGAATTAAAAGAGGTGAAGTGATGCACTACACATTCATGCACCAAGACATTTATGACCTATGCCTAACTTGGTTGGGTTAGCTTTTTAATCTCGTCTCATCTTTTAGCTGTTTATTCCTTTCATGGAACATAACATATAAGGATCCACGCTGGGACCACCACAGTCATGAGTGGAGATGACACCAAAATGCTTTCTTCCATCTTTAAAGTGCATAGATATGCACATACATGCACACACAAACACCCTCTCCCCTCCAATATAAATTATATGCAGCACAGGACAGCAGTTCAAAAGCACGGCTTTCAGATCACACAAGCTTACCATAAGCCTGTGTTTTCTCACGGTCAAATGGGCATAGTAGCACCTATTTCTCAGGGCTGCTGAAGTATTCAGCTTAAATAATGTATGGACTTTGGCACAGAGCCAGGTACACAGGAAGACCCAATAACTGAAAGCTCTTCTTCTTTTTCTTTTTCTTTTTTTTAAAGTTTATTTATTTATTTTGAGACAGAGAGAACAAGTGAACAGGGGGAGGGACAGAGAGAGAGAGTCCCAAGCAGGCTCCATAGTGTCAGGATGGAGACTGATGGCGGGGCTTGATCCTATGACCCTGGGATTGTGACCTGAGCTGAAATCAAGAGTTGGATGCTTAACTGACTGAGCCACCGAGGAGCCCTGAAAGATCTTCTTCTTAACACCTTAATGCATTAGTCTTCCCCTCTCCTCATGTCACAAGCTCACTTTCACTCCACATCCTCTAGGTCATACCATGGTGTGTGCAGAGGATGGAATGGTCTGAATAACCAAGAGTCCTTAACCTGATGTACCCCACACACAGACAGTAATGGCCTTAACCCATGTCTGCCGCATCTACAACAGCCTGAAGACAAGAGACTAAGGAGAAGGAGTCCAAGTCAGGCACATCAGATACCATTTTTTCTAGTCTTTTTATGATATCAGATGGGTCTGCTTTTAACTTTAAACATCAGCTGAAGAATCCATGTGAAACTGTTAGTAATACCTGCAATAGAGGCAAAGAAATGAGAGAAGGGAAATATTTCCTTATGCTTTGGGAAATGGATATAATTTACTGGGAAAACTTGTTTTAGAGAAGACTAATTTTGTTTTAGATCACCTTTCCTAAAATAAAAAGAAATTTTAAATTAAGAATTCAAATACTGGGTTTTAAAAGCAAAAGTAAAATGAAATTTTGTAACATTAAGAATTGTAAAGGCAAGGGGTGCATGGCCCAGTTGATTCAGCATCTGACTCTTGATTTTGGCTCAGGTCACAATCCCAGGATTGTGAGACTAAGCCCCGTGTTGGGCTCTGAGATGACAGTGCGGAGACTGCTAGGGATTCTCTCTCTCCCTCTCTCTCTGCCTCTCCTCCTCTCAAAACAAACAAACAAACAAACAAAAAAGAATTGTAAAGGTAAAAGGCAGACAGTTTAGGAACTTGCACATTTAGGTGGTAAGCTGGGGAGACTTTCATCTGAACCCTTGGTGAACTGGCTGGCATATTTGCAAAGCTCTCCTGGGTGCTCAGGATCAATCTTGGGGCAACGATGAATGGAAATGGAATCCCTGAACTAGCAAATGCTATATGATGAATGGGTCTCCTTCACTTAACAAACGCACAGGAAAGGATTTTTACTAATAGACTGTATTAGATATTTTCCTCCTGTGTAGCTGCTAATCTAACAAAATTTGAGACAGTAGTGAGGTAAGCTAAAAGCAATTTCTTGGGTACTTTCTTGCACAGCATGACAGTTATTAACATAACACAACATCACTATTCTTCCTCACACCCACAAACTCCTCAAACAGTTTCTTTGTTGTGGTGATGGGAGCAGAGTGGACACCACAGTTTAATTCTAATATTCTGTTCTATATGTAGAACTGGTTTTAGAACAGGAATTCACCCCAGGGAGTCATCCGTTGTTTTAATTCTTCACCCAGGATGCTGCATGGGCTTTTTGGAAAAAATGAAACGGGCAAGAGTAGTCATTACTAAATTCATTTTTCTAAAAGCTAGTGACTAGCCCAGAATAGCTAGCAAAAAAGGAGTATGGCCTGGAATGCAAAGTCTGAAGTTTTTCTCAAGTTCAAAGAAATCAGAAAATAACTTATGGCATTCTACAATTTATATCAATTGGGCTCAAGGTCTGGCCTTCTAAATATTCTACTGTGCATTCTTGCTGTCTCCCCAAATCTCCAGAGTCCACACTTAATGGAATAAAGCTTTAGATGTCTGAATTAAATGTGTCTAAAGCAATCAAAAGTTGTTCAAAATCTGAACGCACATTTAACATAAATGGTTCCCTCTTCGTTCTTCCTCTTCCTTCACTGTCTAAAACACAGGTGGTTTTTTTTTGCCCTAATAAGACATTGCACTGGCTCAGAACCATATAAGTAACATGACTATTGCTACATGAACAATTTTTCAGTTTTATGAATTATTCCCAATGATTATAACTTTGTGAAGGTAATCACAAATCTGCCTGAATCTTCAAATTTCATAGGAGAGGGCTAACCAACCACCAATTATTTTGTTTCTGCCCTGCTTGATTTTAATCCTTTGCATTTTTTTCTATCTCCACTAAGGTAAACCATTTATCCTTGAACACGTTCTGGCTATTGGCCTCTCAATCACATCACTGAGCGAGAACATTTCAAACAAAGATGTGCAGACGCTGTTGTGAAAATGGCAGCCAGCTGCTACACAATGCCTTGCTTTAGGATGATCCTAATGGGAGTCAGATGTTGTATGAAATAAGGCATGAACAATTAACACATAAAAGGCAACAGAACAGCTAGAGCTATCAACCATGAGAAGGCAGACCGCATCTGCGGAAACAGTAAGGCTGTGCTGCTCATACAGTCACCATTCTACCTCTACCCTCCTGAAGCTTGGCAGTTTCTTAGTGCTTCTTTGTGAAGGAGATTTCCATTTGGCTTTCCCTTTCTACCCCAGCTTTTGCTCTTTTGTTTCCCAGCAGACCTTCAAATGTACACAGGCTCTACTGGCTATCTGTCCTCTATTGCAAAGATCGAATTCCTATATGAGGGTCTTCCACCCATTGTAATTTCCCAGCAGCAAGATAAACAGCAGGCAGTAATGAAAGCTCTGTATGTAGTTCCCAAGGTCTTGGTTTACTTTCTCCCCTTCCAGAATCACTGTTGGCCAAATACAGGCCATAATAATCATGGCACCTAGAGGCTTACACTGGTTGTAGCATCCAAAAGGTGTGACTGGGAAATAAGCTGATATAATACCCTCATTTGTACCATCCCCACAACCCCCCACCCCCACACTGGTTTCTCTGCTTATCCATCCTATAAAAACATCAGTGCTTTTTCCTTCTTTCCCCAACCCCAAGTCAAGTATCCCAGTAACAAAGCAACTCAACCCCTTTTTTAGCCTCTCTGGGGCAAACGCCTTCAACTGCTCGGAAGGACATGTCCTCCATCAACTTGCCTTAACTCAGATGTGCCTTGCCCCTGAAGATAGGACTTCCTTTTACAGCCATTAGGAGAAAGCTGCTTAATTTTGCCATGCCTCCAGATTCCATGGGACTGAGAGGAGAGTGCGGTGTGTTCTTGGATCCTACTGCTGCTTACATGTCATTGGTTCACTCTTAACGCAGCTTTGAGGCCAAGCTACCTAATGTTTACATTAGGTATCTACGTTAAGGTACCAAACATTAAGCTGCCTACCTGACTCCGGAGGCATGTAGTATGCCTCCATGACACTGCTGTCTGCTGACTTCTTGACAAGTCTCAAGAGTCATCAAGCCTTAATATCTAAATGGTACTCAGTGCATAAAAGGCCTCCAGTTTTAGGTGACTTAAAAAATGATCATAATTTCTAACAAAAATAATGTCTTTCAAAGTCAATGATTTTTATAATGAGATAGATGACAGTGTTTGGAATCTTTTACTGAGTTACATACATTTGCTTTACTGATGGAGAGTTCCACAGATGGTAGGTTTCTCGTCTTGCTCTCTAGATCTACTAGTTACTTCTTCTGAGGCTCCTTTGTGAGCTCATCTTATTTGGCTGCCTCTTCTATGCTGTATTCTCTAGGGCATCCTATTGGACCTCTTTTGTTCTTCTTTTTTAAAATGTTATTTATTGGGGCACTTGGGTGGCTCAGTCAGATAAGCATCTGACTTCGGCTCAGGTCATGATCTCGCGGTTCATGGGTTCTAGCCCTGTGCCAGGCTCTGTGCTGACAGCTCAGAGCCTGGAGCCTGCTTCAGATTCTGTGCCTCACTTTCTCTCTCTCTCTGCTCCTCCCCTGCTCGCAATTCTGTCTCTTTGTCTCTCTCAAAAATGAATAAATATTAAAAAAAATATATTATTTATTTTAAAATGTTTATTTGAGAGAGAGGGGCAGTGAGGGCAGGGGGAGATATGCAGAGGGAGAGAAGGGAGAGAGAGACAGAATCCCATGCAAGAGTGTGGAGCCCAATGTGGGGCTTGATCTCATGACTGTGAGAGCATGACCTGAGCCAAAATCAAGAGATGCTTAACCAACTAAGCCAAACAGGTGGCCCTGAACCTCTTTTGCTATGATAAGATCTCCTCCAATAATTGAATGTGTGCCTGAGGTCTCACTATCACATACATGCCATTGGCTACCAGGTCTTTTCTTCACCC